TTATTTATTTATATAAGCAGAAGGTAATCATAGCTACCAGTACTATTGAGTTCAGATTCAAGGGTCAGATTCAAATTGAAGAGTACAGATTCATTCGTTCAGATTCTTGTTCAGTATGAGGTCGTGCTAAAGTCGTATATATACATACATATATATATATATATATATATATAATTATTTATTTATGCTATTTCTAGATTCAGGTTCAGTATGAGGTCGTGGTAAGGTCGTTGAGCAGGTGCTACGTAACAAACAGCTTTCATGTAAGGTGTGTGCGGATGGAATTTTTAGTTGTGGGCGATTATTAGATTGCGTTTAGCAGTTATAGTTAGAAATCGATATGTTAAGCTTGATCTCCTGATGCTTTAGTGGGGATTATAATTATTATTATGTGGGCAGCAGAAAAATCCGCTCTGTCAGGATTATTAGTATTACACGCACTTTCATGTAATGCTTGGCAAATTTTTTTGCAGAAGCTTTATGATAAAATGCCTATAATAGGGGATAGCGTTGCTATAGCATATACGCGCCGCGAATGTGTGTGTGTGCGTATGTGTGTGTGTGTGTGTGTGTGTGTGTGTGTGTGTGTGTGGTGGTGTGTGTGTGTGTGTGTGTGTATGCGTGCTTGTGTGTGTGTGTGTGTGTGTGTGTGTGTGTGTGTGTGTGTGTGTGTGTGTGCGTGTGTGTGGCGTGTGTGTGTATGTGGGTGGGGTGCGTGTGTGTGCGCGCGCGCGTGTGTGTGTGCGTGTGTGCGTGTGTGGGTGTGCGCGCGCGTGTGTGTGTGCGTGTGTGCGTGTGTGTGTGCGTGTGTGTGTATGTGTGTGTGTGTGTGTGTGTGTGTGTGGTGTGTGCTGTGCGCCGCGGTGTGTGTGCGCCGCGCGCGGGCGTGCATGGGTGCGCGCGCGCCGTGCTCTCTCTCTCTCCCTCTCTTCTCCTCTCTCTCTCTCCCTCTCTTTCTCCCTCTTTCTCTCCCCTCTCTCTCCCGCTCTCTCTCCTTCTCCGCCCTCTCTCTTCCGTCTGTCTTGGAGCTATTGTCTATCATTACATGTGCTCTATTTTCTGAGTTACTGACATCATAAAACGTTAGTTATAAGACGGAAAACGTTGCTAGTTGTAGCGAAACCTGACAGATGGCAGTTTGATTGCGACGTATAAACTTTATATCGCGTGGTTTGTAGGATGAATAGCAGAGTTAAATGTACGAGCATGTTACGTGGTTATGTAGAGGATTAAAGGCCGGATAAGTGCTCTGCAAGTCACTGTATATTTTCATAAGTATCAATAAAAACTCAAACAAAAGTCGGTATTTTCTTGTTTGTGTGTTTTCCGCGATTTCTATAGAACGTTAAATCTTCATCAGCAAACACGCGCACCTGACTAATACCATTAGAGAAGAATGAAGTTCCAGAGGCGTAGCTATCTCTATCATTTTTTTCTTTGGAGGGGGGGGGTGAGGGTGCGAAGCTATGCACGGATTGTGTTCTTGGATCTAATAGTATCTACATTAATCTTGGAGGCGGCTCCTCCCCTGTCTCCCCTTCTCTGCGTTTTTTTCTCGAGAATAGTTGATTAAGCTAAACTGATCGCGCTCGTTCAGTCAGATTACTATAATGATCAAGCCTTGGCTAATTTAATTGATAAAAAACTTTTCTCCCTCTACCTCACACTAATATCTTTTAATAATATTAAACGGTAGCATAATTTAATGAATAATCCCGACAGCAGCGGTTCGTGTTCGCACTAATTCTATTACCACGTGCTAGAGAAAATTAAACCTAAAACGCTCGTAATACACACTCATCACGCTGTACCTAAGAGCGAGCCAGACTCCTTCCACGATGACGCACATAGCCAGACGAGATGAACATCTTCGTTGAAATACGGATAAAATGGAGAAGCCATTACGGAAACCCTTTCTCCTCGTCGGAAACGTCGACGTGGTCGCGAGCTCACCCTTCAATAATTTATTTCGAAATCATTGTTAAAAAAAACTCACAATCTGATAATAATAGTGCGAAATATAGTCTTACCTCATAGCGGATATATTACTGATTACACAAACTTTGAAAAACACTAAGAATTTAGCATTAGAATAAGCATAAGAACTACTAAGCATAGACACTTAAGCCTAAGCATAATACTAAGCATAAGAATTTATGCTAGAAATTAAAGAGACTGGTTAGAAATTATGTTCGAAATAAATACTTTAGCTCACGTGCGCAGCACGCGTTATAGCCACGTGACGTGCCAGGGTTAGCAGACCGTGAGGTGGAGAATTGCGAAAGTTCAGAATTGGATTTTCGGGATTTGAATTTCGACCACCTCCGTCCTACGAGTTGTCCGTGCGTGTTCATGCAAGACGCATCGGTTGTAAAACGATGCGGAGGTATATATATATATATATATATATATATATATATATATATATATATATATGTGCGGTTTACGGTCGTAAACTAGGTTTACGTCTAAAACCAGGTTTTTTCGAATATTGGCACAAACCGCTTCCATATACGGCAACGCAAAATTAAAACAAGCCATGCTGTAGCAACAACAGTAAGAGTGTAAAATAAGAAGTGAGAATACGCATGCAGTAAAGCGAGGATACCATTACAGCCGCGATTATAATATTATTAAGTAATTAGTTTTTTCTGCTAATTGCCATACGGCGGCTGTCAATCTTCTCGTATACCGCTTTCTCTAGAAATATCATTAATTAAAAAAGCAATATTATTATTAATTATATTTCAAACATGTATGCATATCGATTCGAGCGAGAAAGGCTGTAGACGCACGTCCGTCGTGGTCATCTATATATAGTGTAAAAAATACATCATATATATATATATATATATATATATATACTATATATAGCATACATTGTAATACATAGTAGTAAATTGTGTAGAAATATGACTCAGATAGCTCAGCGCGCGCTTTATCAAAACGCAGGAGCTGATTCTATCGCACATGTAGTGCACATGTGTGTGTGTGTGTGTGTGTGTGTGTGTGTGTGTGTGTGTGTGTGTGTGTGTGTGGTGTGTGTGTGTGTATGTGTGTGTGTGCGCGCGCGCGCGTGTGTGTGTGTGTGTGTGCGCTCCGTGTGTGCGTGTGTGAGTGCGTGCGTGTGGCGCGCGCGCGTGTGTGTGTGCGCGCGCGTGTGTGTGTGCGCGTGTGTGGGGTGTGTGTGTGCGCGCGTGTGGGTGTGTATGCGCGTTTGTGTGCGCGCGCGCGTGTGAGTGCGTGCGTGCGCGCGTGTGTGTGTGTTACCCTAGCCGGTAACTAGTGCAAACAATCGGTAAACAAGTCACCACACACCCCGTCGCCTGCAGACGCTAGGTCGTCCGTGGAGAAGCAAATCGCTGGCTTCCCAGGAAATGTTCGGCCTTGCCGCGGGTGTCAGGTCACGCATTTGCTTTCTTGTCGCAACCCCACCCTCCCTCCACGCGCAGCTAGTCAGCATGCTTACTATCTGGATGTTATTCGCTTACAACCAATATCAGACACGACACCCACAATTAACGCCACCCGCCCCGTCGCTCTGACATTGATCCACTCCAGAAATCTCATCAGAAACCATCATCACCTAGACGTGTTTCCGAAATATCACTGTGGCATAGGCGGAGACGGGTGGCGTGTCACTGCTATACAATAGCCACAAGTTACCTTCTCGCTTCTCACGACGTGAAACAGTCGTAGTGTAAACGTCATTTTATACGTTACATGAATTAGTCAGTGGAGCTAGACGGGTAAGTTGTTTTAGCCATATTCCAGCTAGACAGCGTCGCTCAACCAGATGGGCGCTACATTGATGTATTAGGGAGAATGGCAGGACGTGGTTAGGTAGAACAGTTTCGAGAGTCAGGTGAAATTGGGGTAGGACGTAGTCTCGAGAACGGGTACATGTGCGGCAGGATGTTTGTAGGAGTTTTGGGGTAATAGAGAGATGGGAGATTCGGGTGCTGGTCCGCGAGAGTACGCGCACGTGCGTCGCGCGCGTGTGCGCGGTCTTCTGTCTGTTTGTGCGCATTGTCTGATAGGTGGCTACACGTGTAAGATACTTAAAAGATTAACAGTTTAGCACACAAGTCTGCATTTGATCGTTCTTCATCATTTCGACATCAACGCTCATTCACACGTTACAGTAGAGGCTGGTCGGGCTAGCACACAGATAGCCACAAGTTACCATTCTTCGCTTCTCACGACGTGAAACAGTCGTAGAGCCCTGGTCGGGCTAGCACCCAGATAGCCACAAGTTACCTTACTCGCTTCTCACACGTAACAAGTGAGAGGCTGTCGAGCATAGCACACAGGGTAGCCACAAGTTACTTACTCGTCTTTTCTCACTACGTGAAACAGTCGTAGAGTCTGGCTGGCTAGCACACAGATAGCCCAAGTTACCTTCTCGCTTCTCACGACGTGAAACAGTCGTAGAGCCCCTGGTCGGGCTAGCACACAGATAGCCACAAGTTACTTCTCGCTTCTCACTACGTGAAACAGTCGTAGAGCCTGGTCGGCTAGCACACAGATAGCCACAAAGTTACCTTCTCCGCTTCTCACGACGTGAAACAGTCGTAGAGCCTGGTCGGCTAGCACACAGATAGCACAAGTTACCTTCTCGCTTCTCACGCCGTGAAAGCAGTCGTAGAGCCTGGTCGGGCTAGCACACAGAGAGCCACAGTTACCTTCTCGCTCTCCACTACGTGAAACAGTCGTAGAGCCTGTCGGGCTAGCACACAGATAGCCACAAGTTACCTTCTCGCTGCTCCACGACGTGAAACAGTCGTAGAGCCTGGTCGGCTAGCACACAGATAGCCACAAGTTACTCTCGCTCTCACGACGTGAACAGTGTAGAGCCTGGTCGGGCTAGCACACAGATAGCCACAAGTTACCTTCTCGCTTCTCACGACGTGAAACAGTCGTAGAGCCTGGTCGGGCTAGCACACAGATAGCCACAAGTTACCTTCTCGCTTCTCACGACGTGAAACAGAGTCGTAGACGCTGGTCGGGCTAGCACACAGATAGCCACAAGTTTACCTTCTCGCTTCTCACGAGACGTGACAATAGTAGTAGAGGCTGTGTCGGCTACACACCGATAGCCAGCCACAGTTACCTTCCGCTCTCACTATACGCGGCAAGAAGGTAACGTTCGTGCACGTCTTACGACGTGAAACAGTCGTATAGGCGGCTGTGCGGCTATGTCGTGCATGATCTACTCGTTAGCATTGCTTACATTAGTACACCAGGACTCCGCCGTGAATCAAACCCGTGATACACGAGTTGATCGTGTGGCGTCAATAGTTACCGCTGTTAGATTAGTAGCCTCGCAGTGTCTCCCGCTGCTTGCTAACGTGCGCAGAGAGCGCGTATCCCGTAACGAGGACATGTGTCGGAGTGAAAATAAGAAGACAATGTCAGGTGAATATCAAGAGTCTATCAATATCTATTGATATATGACTGTTATATTATTATCAGGACGCCGCGATTGATGTGGTGCATCTCACTGCCCCCTCAAACCGGAAAGAACGAATATTTTTTGCGATTATAGAAGGAAACCCGGGATGCCGGAAAACCGGCGAGATGTGATTTTAACTAACCGGGACGGGGATGATGAAAACGTTTTTCTTCTTCACCTGTGAAACTGTGAATGAACTCGCGCGCCCGCGGTTACCACGCTTAATGCTGCGTTTACACTGTGTTCCGGCGGCCACGGCACGCCCGTTGCCGAAACGTAGTGCGCCGTGGGATTATGGCAATTTTTTTCTCTGTATTCAAGTTTTGTAGGTCTTGCAAGTTTTCTCACGGTCTATCACGGTATCCGTGACGGCCGGGGGGGAAGGCGCTGCTGAGTCCGCGAAGGGTCAAGGCGCACTACGTGTTGGTCGCGGTCTACCACGGATGCCAGTACGTTCCTCCCGGCCGTCACGTTCTGATGGGTCCCTCACGTTTCTCACGATCTGATCAAGGTCTGACACGTTTTTCACGTTTTGTAAGGCTTTCTACGAATAAACGTGACGCCGGGCAGCTTTGGAGCACGTTTGTTCGCCGACGGTATAAAAGAAGGCCTCCCAAGTAATAGCAATCATTGTATTCTGAGATTCGACGAGACAACATCAATGAAGTGCCTTAGATGAAAAAATTTGTTTTGCATGTTTTGCTGGGTGCATACATCCAGTCTTGCATCAGCAAGAAGAAGGCCACGCAGCAGTTGCAGAGAGGGAAGGCCAGTGTGTAGCAGTCAGGAAGAGGCTGGTGAAAAGCCAAGATCCATGTGGTGCGCGAATGGTTATGAAAGACAGAAGGCAGCAGCTGGGCCACTACTCAAACTTTTAGTTTACTTTTAGTTTTAGTCCAGTTTTAGGACGCGGCGCGCGCTCTGTCAGGCCCGTAGTATAGAACGCAACCGGCGTAGCGCGGCCGGCCAAACCCGTCTGTCCCGTGCCGCGCCCTTCCCGTCCCACATACGGACCGCCGCGAAGTTTGTTACGGCTATTACGTGCTGTCACGTTTTGTTTGCGTTACTCCGTTTTACTACGGCCTACTACGTTTCTCATCCCCGCACCGTGACGTGCGCTGGCAAATCTTTTGACAAATTAATAATTTGCCGGCAGCATCCACGGCAAATCACGGCCTGTTCACGTTTGCCCATTCGCGTCCCCCGCGTTGTCTCACGTTCATGCCGTTTTGTCCCAGGTGGCCTGAAACGGGGGCTGCGTGGGCGCCGAAAACACAGTGTAAAACGCAGCATAAAGAACTTGAATGAGCTATCAAACGCGGAGCTCGCTTCGTTGGCAGTGCAGATTTGCCACCTTCCAGAGAAGTACTTCAATAAAGAACCACGGTCTCGCCTTACTACAGCGCGCGTCTCACCTTATATATTATACAAGCTGCGTGCTCGCTCTTACCGCTCTGTCTGCGGCACTTCAATAATAACCACCCTTAAATAAAATCCCTTAATGAGAACGCGCAGATTTCTTTCGCTCGAGATGTTTGTCGCGCGCATCTAATGCGTATATATCATATTATCAGGAGTGAATAATAAATTGATTAATAATAATAATAATCATCACGATTATATTTACTCCTGATATTATCTTGTCTCTGTCGGACATTCTGTCTGGCGTCTGCCTAGGCGCTCACATCTTTGGACATTCATATCTATGTGAGATTTAGATCCCCATATGACAGCTTCACTCTCTCAACTCATAATCTTATCGATGCTTTTATTCCAGCTTAACTCTCACACCGCTATCACCTCCGTATTGCGAACTCAACGAGCAACCGCTATCGGCCCGATTTGCAATTTCGCTAAATGTAAATCCCAATTATTTCCATGTCCGTTTAGGATTCGGTGGATGTAACAATAATGTGACGCGTGGCAGATCTTATGCCCATATACGGTGCGACGCCATGATGTTCATCTCGCTGCAGCGTTTTGTGTTTCGTGCGGTGGCGTTTGTCGTTCAGGCGACAAGTCGCATCAAGCTATCTAGCACTTATAAAAGCACGTATTCGCAACGAGTTTATATAAGCCATATCGGAAAGTCCCGGCCGCCATATTGAGATCAGATAAGAGGGGGTATAAGTTGAGGGGTATAACATGGGTAGGATAGGACTATTCTAGGTTTTTTTATCTACAATTCTCTTCACTAACATCGTACTTCAATTCACAGGTGCGTTTCTGTTTACATAAACATTTACAAATATGATTGTGGTCATTTGGGATAATTTTGCAATGTTTGTGTTAATACAAAAACTAAAAACTCGCAACTTGCAACTCGCTAGCTTCTCCCAAATCCTGACAAAAGTTGGGCGCACAACGACGCACTGATCTTGTTTTCAATTTTTTGATTAATTTTCAATGCGCGGGCATCTGATATATGGGAGACATAGGCCACTTATAGAAAACGCTACATCGATATTTACATCCAGTGTACGGCTATGGAAAGCGGTTTGTTCCAATATTCGAAAAACCAGGTTTTTCGAATATTGGCACAAACCGCGTCCTAAAACCTGCTTTTACGTCCTAAAACCCGGTTTTACGGTCGTAAAACTAGGTTTTACGTCCTAAAACCAGGTTTTACGTCCTAAAACCCCCGGTTTTACGGTCGTAAAACTAGGTTTTACGTCCTAAACCCAGGTTTTTCGAATATTGGCACAAACCGCTTTCCATATACGGCAACGCAAAATTAAAACAAGCCATGCTGTACAACAAAACGTAAGAGTGGTAAAAAGAAGTGAGAAAACGCATGCAGTAAAGCGAGGATACCATTACAGCGGCGATTAAATATTAATTAAGTAATTAGTTTTTTCTGCTATTGCCATACCGGCGCTGTAAATATTCCTCGTATACCGCTTTCTCTAGAAATATCATTCATTAAAAAGCAATTATTATTAATTATATTTCAAACATGCATATACGATTACGCGAGAAAGGCTGTAGACGCACGTCCGTCGTGTCATCTATATATAGTGTAAAATATACATCATATATATATATATATTATATATATATATATATACATACATTGTATAATAGTAGTAAATGTGTGTAGAATAATGACTCAGATACTCAGCGCGCGCCTTATCAAAACGCAGCGATTTCTATCGCACATGTAGTGCACATGTGTGTGTGTGTTGTGTGTGGTGTGTGTGTGTGTGTGTGTGTGTGTGTGTGTGTTGTGTGTGTGTGTGTGTATGTGTGTGTGTGCGCGCGCGCGCGTGTGGTGTGTGTGTGGTGCGCTCGCGTGTGGCGTGTGTGAGTGCGTGCGGTGCGCGCGCGCGTGTGTGTGTGCGCGCGCGTGTGTGTTGCGCGCGTGTGGTGTGTGTGTGCGCGCGTGTGTGGTGTGTAGCGCGTTTGTGTGGCGCGCGCGTGCGTGTGATCGTGCGTGCGCGCGTGTGTGTGTTACCCTAGCCGGTAACTGTGCAAACAATCGGTAAACAAGTCACACACCACCCGTCGCCTGCAGACGCTAGGTCGTCTCGTGGAGAAGCAAATCGCTGGCTTCCCAGGAAATCCGCCTTGCCCGGGTGTCAGGTCACGCATGCCATTTCTTGTCAACCCCACCCTTCCCCGAGGCATGCATGCTACTCAATCTGGATGTTATTCCTTACAACCAATATGAGACACGACACCCACAATTAACGCCACCGTCGCCTTCTGACATTGATCCACTCCACGAAATCCTAATCAGAAACCATCATCACCTAGACGTGTTTCGAAATATCACTGTGGCATAGGCGGAGACGGGTGCGTGTCACTGCTAACAATAGCCACAAGTTACCTTCTCGCTTCTCAGACGTGAAACAGTCGTAGTGTAAACTCATTTTATACGTTACTGAATTAGTCAGTGGAGCTAGACCGGTATGTGTTTTAGCCATATTCCAGCTAGACAGGTCGCTCAACCAGATGGGCGGCTACATTGATTTATTAGGGAGAATGGCAGGACGTGGTTAGGTTAGACGAGTTTCGAGAGTCAGGTGAAATTGGGGTAGGACGTAGTCCTGAGAACGGGTACATGTGCGGCAGGATGTTTGAGGAGTTTTGGGGTAATAGAGAATGGGAGATTCGGGTGCTGGGTCCGCGAGAGTACGCGCACGTGCGTCCGCGCGTGTGCGCGGTCTTCTGTCTGTTTGTGCCGATTGTCTGATAGGTGGCTACACAGTGTAAGATACTTAAAAGTTATACAGTTTAGCACACAAGTTCTGCATTTGGATCTGTTTCTTCATCATTTCGACATCAACGCTCATTCCAACGTTACAGTAGAGGCTGGTCGGGCTAGCACACAGATAGCCACTAAGTACCTTCTCGCTTCTCACGACGTGAAACAGTCGTAGAGCCTGGTCGGGCTAGCACCCAGATAGCCACAAGTTACCGTTCTCGGCTTCTCAGGCGCGCACGTGAAACAGGTAGTAAGAGCTGGTCGAGCTAGCACACAGGTCAGCAAAGTGTACCTCTCGTTCTCACTACGTGAAACAGTCGTAGAGTCTGGCTGGGCTAGCACACAGATAGCCACAAGTTACTTCTCGCTTCTCACGACGTGAAACAGTCGTAGAGCCTGGTCGGGCTAGCACACAGATAGCCACAAGTTACTTCTCGCTTCTACTACGTGAAACAGTCGTAGAGCCGGTCGGCTAGCACACAGATAGCCACAAAGTTACCCTTCTCGCTTCTGCACGACGTGAAACAGTCGTAGAGCCTGGTCGGCTAGCACACAGATAGCACAAGTTACCTTCTCGCTTCTCACGCCGTGAAAGCAGTCGTAGAGCCTGGTCGGCTAGCACACAGAAGCCACATTTACCTTCTCGCTTCTCCACTACGTGAAACAGTCGTAGAGCCTGGTCGGGCTAGCACACAGATAGCCACAAGTTACCTTCTCGCTTCTCACTACGTGAAACAGTCGTAGAGCCTGGTCGGCTAGCACACAGATAGCCACAAGTTACCTTCTCGCTCTCACGACGTGAACAGTGTAGAGCCTGGTCGGGCTAGCACACAGATAGCACCACAAGTTACCTTCTCGCTTCTCAGCGCCGTGAAACAGCCGTAGAGCCTCGGTCGGGGCTAGCACACAGATAGCCACAAGTTACCTTCTCGCTTCTCACGACGTGACAAGGTCGGTAGACGCTGGTCGGGCTAGCACACAGATAGCCACAAGTTTACCTTCTCGCTTCTCAGCAGACGTGACATAGTAGTAGAGCTGTCGGCGCTAGCACACCAGATAGCCAGCCACAAGTTACCTTCCGCTCTCACTATACGCGGCAAGAAGGTAACGTTCGTCGCACGTTCTTACGACGTGAAACAGTCGTATAGCGGCTGTCGGGCTATGTCGTCCATGATCTACTCGTTAGCATTGCTTACATTAGTACACCAGGACTCCGCCGTGAATCAAACCGTGATACACGAAGTTGATCGTGTGGCGTCAATAGTTACCGCTGTTAGATTAGTAGCCTCGCAGTGTCTCCCGCTGCTTGGCTAACGGTGCGAGAGAGCGCTGTATCCCGTAACGAGGACATGTGTCGGAGTGAAAATAAGAGACAAGTCAGGTGAATATCAAGAGTCTATCAATATCTATTGATATATGACTGTTATATTATTATCAGGACGCCGCGATTGATGTGGTGCATCTCACTGACCTGCAAACCGGAAAGAACGAATATTTTTTGCGATTATAGAAGGAAACCCGGGATGCCGGGAAAACGCGGAGATGTGATTTTAACTAACCGGGGACGGGGATGATGAAAACGTTTCTTTCTTTTCACCTGTGAAAACTGTGAATGAACTGCGCGCGCCGGCGTTACCACGCTTAATGCTGCGTTTACACTGTGTTCCGGCGGCCACGGCAGCCCGTTTGCCGAAACGTAGTGCGCCGTGGGATTATGGCAATTTTTTTCTCTGTATTCAAGTTTTGTAGGTCTTGCAGTTTTCTCACGTTCTATCACGGTATCCGTGACGGCCGTGGGGGAAGGCGTGCTGAGTCGCGAAGGGTCAAGGCGCACTACGGTTTGGTCGCGGTCTACCACGGATGCCAGTACGTTCCCTCCGGCCGTCACGTTCTGATGGGTCCCTCACGTTTCTCACGATCTGATCAGGTCTGACACGTTTTTCACGTTTTGTCAGGCTTTCTACCGATGAACGTGGACGCCGGGCAGCTTTGGAGCACGTTTGTTCCGCCAGACGTATAAAGAAGGCCTCCCAAAAGTCAATAGCAATCATTGTATTCTGAGATTCGACGAGACAACATCAATGAAGCCGCTTAGATGAAGAAGAATTTGTTTTGCATGTTTGCTGGGTGCATACATCCAGTTCTTGCATCAGCAAGAAGAAGGCCAGCAGCAGTTGCAGAGAGGGAAGGCCAGTGTGTAACAGTCAGGAAGAAGGCTGGTGAAGCCAAGACCTGTGGGTGCGCGAATGGTTATGCGAAAGACAGAAGGCAGCAGCTGGCCACTACTCAACATTTTAGTTTACTTTTAGTTTTAGTCCGCTTTTAGGACGCGCGCGCGCCTTGTCAGGCCCGTAGTATAGAACGCAACGCGGCGTGTAGCGCGCCCGGCCAACACCGTCCTGTCCGTCCGCGCCTTCCCGTCCACTGACGACCGCCTCGAAGTTTTGTTACGGCCTATTACGTGCTGTCACGTTTTGTTGCGTTTCTCCGTTTTTACTACGGCCTACTACGTTTCTCATTCCGCACCGTGACGTGCGTGGCAAATCTTTTGACACAATTAATAATGCTGCGCACATCCACGGCAAATCACGGCCTGTTCACGTTTGCCCATCTCGCGTCCCCGCGTTGTCTCACGTTCATCGCCGTTTTGTCCGTGGCCTGAAACGGGGGCTGCGTGGGCGCCGAAACACAGTGTAAACGCAGCATAAAGAACTTGAATGAGCTATCAAACGCGGAGCTCGCTTCGTTGGCAGTGCCAGATTTGCCACCTTCCAGAGAAGTACTTCAATAAAGAACCACGCGTCTCGCCTTACTACAGCGCGCGTCTCACTATTATATTTTAGAACCTGCGTGCTCGCTCTACCGCCTGTCCTGCCGGCACTTCAATAATAACCACCCTTAAATAAAATCCCTTAATGAGAACGCGCGAGTTTCTTTCGCTCGAGGATGTTTGTCGCGCGCATCTTATGCGTATATATCTATTATCAGGAGTGAATATAATTGATTAATAATAATAATAATCATCATCGATTATTATTTACTCTGATATTATCTTGTCTCTGTCGGACATTCTGTCTGAGCGTCTGCGCCTAGGCGCTCACATCTTTGGACATTCATATCTATGTAGAGATTGATCCCGCATATGACAGCTTCACTCTCTCAACTCTAATCTATCGATGCTTTATTCTATATATATAATATATATTATAATATATATATATAATAATATATATATCATGTGTGTGTGTGTGTGTGTGTGTGTGTGTGTGTGTGTGTGTGTGTGTGTGTGTGCGTGTGTGTGTGTGTGTGGTGTGTGTGTGTGTGTGTATAATATAGTGTGTGTATGTGTGTGTGTCGTGTGTGGGTGTGGGTGTGGGTGTGTGTGTGGCGTGTCGCGCGCGTGGTGTGTGTGGTGTGTGTGTGGTGTGTGTGTGTGCGTGCTGTGTGTGTGTGGGTGGTGTGCATATGTGTATGTGTGGTGTGTGCATGTGTGTGTGTGTGTGTGTTTGTGGTGTGCAGTGTGTGTGTTGTGTGTCTACGCGCGCGTGTGTGCGTGTGTGTGTGTTGTGTGTGTGTGTGTTTGTGAGTGTGTGTGCGGTGTGCGTCGTGTTGCGTGTCTATGTGTGTGTGTTGTGTGTGTGTGTGTGTGTGTGTGTGTGTGTGGTGTGTGTTGTGTGTGTGTGCGTGTACGTGTGCGTGTGCGTGCGTGTGCGTGTGCGTGTTCGTGCGTGTGTGCTGCGTGTGTTGGTGCGGTCGTGTGCGTGGTGCGTGTGCGCCGCGTGCGTGCGGGTGCGTGCGTCGTGTGTCGCGTGTGTGCGTGTGTGCGTGTGCGTGCGTGCGGTGCGTCGCGTGCGTGCGTGTGTGTGCGCGCGCTGTGTGCGCGCACGTGCGTGTAAGTGAAAAGTGCCGTTTTCTCTATATCAAACACATTCTCTTTTCTGCCGCGTGTAACCCTCTGCCCAGGTGCAGACAGAAAGGAGACCCACACATAGCACAGCTACTTGTTAAAGGGCGCAGCACGCCCATTAACGTATCATTTGATCGTCATTCAACCGACAATGGACGGACTCATTCACGTGACAGCGTGGTTTACGGTGCGTGTCATCATCATTATCATCATCATCATCATCATCGTCGTCGTCGTCGTCGTCGTTACCGATCACCATCATTCCGAGCTGATACGTACGGCATCAGCCGGACACCGCGACACGCGATATTAGACGCTCCTGTTGTTACGGTCGCATTGTCATCATATTACGGCCACGGTCACGCACGACGTCACTTG